TTTTAGGATGGATAGTATGTCTACATGTCTAAATGCATTGAGTTGCTGCCATGTGATTAACTGAACACATGTACAGTTTGTCCACTCCAAAGTTTTTTCTTTCTTTTTTTTTCTACATTTTTCCTTTTCTTTTTGAGGTCACTACAGATGGCCGGACATTCTCCTTCAGAATATCTCGGTACACAGCAGAATTATTTGTTACATTTATCACAGCAATTCTTCCAGGTCCTAAAGCAGCAAAACAGCCCCAGACCATCACACTACCACCACCACATTGAATTGTTGATATGTTCTTTTTCTTAAATGCAGTGTTACTTTTACGCTATACATTATGGGACACACACCTTTCAAATATTACATCTTTTTGTTTTATCAGTTTACAGGATTTTCCCAAAAGTCTTAGGGATCATCAAGATTTTTTCTGGCAAAACTCAAACAGGCCTTTAAGTTCTTTTTGCTCAGCAGTGGTTTTCATTTTGAAACTCTGCGGTGCAAACCATTTTTGCCCAGTCACTTTTTTATGGCATGTCATGTCATGTATGGCAAGTCATGAACACTTAACTCAGGCAAGAGAGGCCTAAAGGTCTTTAGATATTCTCATTTGTGTCCACTTAGATGAGTTGCTGCTTCACTCTTGGGATGATTTTGCTTGGCTGGTCACTCCAGGTTCTCCACTCTTCCATGTTTTTGCCATTTGTAGATAATAAATCACATTGTTGTTCGTTGCAGTCTCGAATCTTTAGAAATGGCTTCATAACTATTTTCCAAACTAGTAGATCTTAATTATTTTCTTTCTCATTTGTTTTTTACTTTTTTTGTGTCTCGGCACGATGTTTAGCTTTTGAGGTTCTTTTAGTCTGCTTCACTTTGTCATTAACGTCCTTATTAGGTGATTTCTTGATTGCAAACAAATGTGGCAGTAATCAGGCCTGGGTGCCTCTAGAGGAGGCAAACACTTTTTCAGACAGGGCGCTGTAGTTTTGTATTTTGGTCATCCTTAAATTTAAAAACCTTAATTTCAAAATGACATGATGTGTTTACTTGTGTTGATTTTGACTAATTAAAAAAATATTTGATGATCTAAAACATTAAAATGCACCTATTGTATCTCTTTTACAAGATATAAGATAAGTCTTTGGTATCTCCAGATTTATACCCTACTGAAAATGTTTTGGGATGGAAAATGGAGCTGGTTTTGTAGCCCGTGTCTTTAAATGCAACAAGCTGGTTCTCCCCATCCACCCTTCCAACATACATGTCTGCTTCTCCTGCATAATGTCAGATAAACAAGTAGACACACATGATTGAAGCACAGATCTTTACTGATTGAAGCAGAGAGCTGCTCATGAGAAAACCCACAGCGAGACTGGACCAGAAAATTTCCCAATGTTTATTTGATGTATTTGTTGTGAATTTAATTCAAGCCTTTCTGCAATGATGAGTCACACACAATGCCGTTACAAAGTTTTCAGTACACACACACATTCATCTATGGACTGTACTTGTGGCAAATGTGACAGGATTCAAGTTAATATACACTTCAAAATTGCTGGATTTTTTTTAAATATAAAGAAATGTAAAAAAATAAATAAATACATTTTGCGTTGTTTAGACCTGTGTTTCTATCACTCCAATATGACAGCGGACACACTAAACACAGTTCTCTCCAAACAGCTTTCAAAAGTTCATTTCTAAAGTGTGACAAATTTGCAAAAAGAAAAAAAAATTGTAAGGGGCAAGCATTTTTTCACACCACTGTGTATTTGATATAATCTGTAGAAAATACTTTGTGGTGTTAACATTAATGTTGGTTCAGAGGAAATGAAGGAAATCTTCTAGTGATTTACATTGTTGCTCAATAATATTGAAAACTGGGTTTTAACAGATTTTGTTTTCTGAAAGTCTGCAAGGCTAAAAGTGTTAGTGGCTAAAGAAACACCCCATCACTGCTGTCACAACAAACTAATCTTCTTTAAGGCTCTATTTCCTTTCCATTCAAATACACAGCCTGTAAGGCCACTTTAATTTATCTTATATGTCTCTCTTTGTGTGCGCGTGTGCTTGTGTGTGTCTGAGTCAGCATTGTGCTCTCAGCAGTAGAAAGCTCAAGAACAGCAACATTTTACACTCAAGCTTCTCTCTGACAAAGCCACATACACATACTTAGAGTATTCTGTGTTCAAGACTATAAACCTGTTTAGACACCTCCACCAACAAATCCACTCATAAGCCAGTCCATGAGGTTATTAGCAGTCATTGTAATCTACAGATCTCAACACAGCAGAGTGCATTTCTCTCTTTTTCTCTGTATGTTTGTATAAAGGGCAAGAAGGAGATAGATGGATAGTATGATAGTGTTGATGTGTTGAGAATTAACCACAGAGAGATCTTAAACAGATGTCTGCAGAAAGTGACACAAGAAAAACAGATTTTCATACCCAAGGCCTTGCAATAACTGTAAAATACATACACTAGAGTAGAGGTTTTAAGCTCTGGCCCTCAATGTCCACATTTCTGCAGAGTTTATCTCCGAGCCTAATTAAACTCATCTGAACAAGCTTTAGTATTACTAGAAACGCTACTGACAAGTTTGATCAGGGTGGACCTTAGAATCCAAAACATCAGCACATATCTCAGTTTTTTATTTTTTTATATTAGCTAAACAAAACATTACTGCTATCAGAAAGTTCCTAAAATCCAGCACAGAAGTTTGCATAAATTTAAAATTTCATTCATTCATTCATTCATTTATTCATCCATTAATTTTCTTTTCACCTTAGTCCTTTTATTAATCTGGGGTTGCCACAGCGGAATGAACCCCCAACTTATCCAGCTTATGTTTTTACACTGCAGATCCAGCTGCAACCTATCACTGGGACACACTCATACACTACATTCAATTTTAGCATACCCAATTCACCTGTACTGCATGTCTTTGGAATTGTGGGAGCACCTAGAGGAAACCCACACGAATACTGGGAGAGCATGCAAACTCCACACAGAAATGCCGACTGATCCAGCCGAGGCTTGAACCAGCAACCTTCTTATTGTAAGGCGAACGTCGCCCTTAATAATTTTAATATATTTCAATATTGAAGTCATATATGAGCACACTTTTAGCTGCGTCATGGCTGGACTGTAGCCACTGTTCCCAATGGACTGCTTATAATTTTTGAAATTTAATTTGAAAATATGTTTAGATGATTTTAGAGAGGGGCAGCACGGTGGCACAGTGGATAGCCCTGGCCGGGTCAGTTGGCGTTTCTGTGTGGAGTTGGCAGTTCATTCCGCTGTGGCATCCCCAAAATAATAAAGAGACTAAGCCAAAATAGAAAATGAATAAATGATTTCATAGATGTGAATTTTACTGGTCATTGTACAGTGCAAAGAACAATTCCAAAATCTCCTTACTCTCCAGTGGCTACAATACAGCCAATTTACTGTATGTATTTTACATTTATATGTGTGATAAGGAGCTTTTTGAGGTAGTATTAAACAATGAACGGCCACTTACACACTGGAACTCAAGTCTCTGAATTCATCTAAACACATTTTCAAATTAGCACTGTTCGTTTTTCAATAAACTGTGTACTGGAGTTCTAAACAAACAATGACATTCTCACCTCAATACTGACTTGCAATAATAGCTGTATTTTATGAACTATGTGAGTGAGTCCTCCACCATAACACTTGCAGAAACTTATGACTTATGACCTACTAGATGTATGGGATTTTCAATAATGTATCATTACTTATTTATTTTGACTTGTATTTCATTCCAGACAATACAGCAAACGTTATTTAATGTGATTTTCAAAATAAAGACGTATTCCAATTTTGGTTCTTGCAACACAATTTAAAAAAAAGTTGGACCAGTAATGTTTGTATTGTGTCTATTGGAGAAAAAACAGGACAGCAGACAGGCCAGTCAAGTACCTGTATCCTCTTCCTCCAGCGCCGGGACTTTGTAACGTGTTTCTTATCTTATTTCTTAATATCTTTTTGAAATATGCATGGGCGTCCCTGGAAAAGACGTCTTCTTGAAGGCAATATATTGTGCTCCAAAATCTCTTTGTATTTTTCAGCATTAATGATGCAGTCACAGATGTTCAAGTTACCTTTGCCAAGGGCACTGACACAACCCCATACCGTGACAGACCCTGGCATGTAGACTTGCACACACTAGCACACAGTGTTCATTTCTCCCAAAAAATTACCTGAAATTCTGATTTATTTGACCATAGTAAGCGTTTCCACTGTGTGATTATCCATCCCAGATGCCTCTGTGACCAGAGAATGGGATGGCATTGGTATTTGACAAAAGTTTTCCAAAGTTGTTCTGAACCCATGTGGTGATACCGTTTATAGATGAATGTTGCTTCTTGAATCAGTGCCACCTAAGTGATCTGAGATCATTTAGTTAGTTCAAGTTAGGCTTACCCTTGTTCTCTAAGCACTGAAATTCCTCAAGATTCCTTGAACCTTTTAATTTTGTTTTGCACTGTTGAAGATAAAATATCAAAATTTCTTCTTATCGTTTTTTGAGGAAGATTGTTTTTAACATTTCAATTATTTTTCTAGAGTATTTGTTGGCAAACTGGCGATCATCAGCCCATCTTTGCTCCTAAAGGACTAGACCTTTCTTTTGATGCTGCTTTTGTACCAAATCATAACTACAATCACCTGTTGACATTACTTGTTTCAATTCACATCATTATTTAACCAATTTACCTGATTACTAGCCCTAAATTGCTCCTGTCCCAACTTTTTTATGGAATGTGTTGTGGCTCTGAATGACAGGATATGATCTATATTACAAATCAAACAAAGTTGACCAGATAAAACATGAAATATTTTTATGTTGTCTGCAAGAAAATACAAGTCAAAGTAAATTTAGAAATCACTTTCTTTTTTATATACACTACTTTTCTTAGAGTCAGAGTTTACAACCAATGCACTCACTGACCCAATGCCTTCTTGTCTTTCTATTTTTTCCTTAGGTGGTGTGAAGTGAAGAATTGTAGCGGAAACAAGCTGGCCTCTTCTCACCATGCATTTTTCTATCAATTCATCTCGCCTTTCCCCCTTCTTCTTTAGTTCTTTATTTCTCCCCATCCTATTACTTTATGTCTCTTTACCTCAAGTTGATGCCCAAGATTTAGACCAATCTACCTCCAACTGTTCCCAGAACGACGTGTGCACAGACGGGGTCCTGTTACCAGTGTGGAATCCCCAGAACCCTTCAGTGGGTGACAAAGTGGCCCGTGCCATTGTGTACCTGGTGGCACTAGTTTACATGTTCTTAGGTATGTCAATCATAGCTGACCGCTTCATGACTGCCATTGAAGTTATAACTTCACAAGAGAAGGAGATCACTACAAAAAGACCCAATGGTGAAACAGTCACCACAACAGTCCGCATATGGAATGAGACTGTCTCCAATCTAACCCTAATGGCTCTGGGGTCTTCAGCCCCAGAAATATTGCTTTCAGTCATTGAGGTCTGCGGGCATAATTTTGAGGCTGGTTCTCTAGGTCCCAGCACCATTGTGGGCAGTGCTGCCTTCAACATGTTTGTAATCATTGGTCTCTGTGTCTATGTGGTACCTGAAGGTGAAAGGCGCAAGGTCAAACATCTTCGGGTGTTTTTTGTGACTGCAGCATGGAGCATGTTTGCCTACATTTGGCTCTATCTTATCCTTGCTGTAATCTCTCCAGGTGAGGTAGAAGTTTGGGAAGCTGTATTGACGTTCCTCTTTTTCCCTCTCTGTGTGGTCCAAGCCTGGATCGCTGATCGCCGATTGCTTTTTTACAAGTATGCACGCAAACGCTACCGAACCGATAAGGGTCGTGGAATTATAGTGTCTGAGGGTGGGGAGGAATTAGGGAAAGAGGCGGGATTCACAAAGATGGACATGTTGGAAATTGATGGAATCACTACTCATTTAGATGGGGTCTTGGGAGGGGAAAGTGGGCTTGGTGGACGTGATCAAGAAGAGGAAGCCAGGAGAGAAATGGCCAGAACTCTAAAGGAATTGAAGCAGAGACATCCTGAGAAGGACATGGAGCAGCTCATAGAGATGGCCAACTATCAGGTATAAAAATAGATTAAAACAATTTTTTTTAAATTCATGATTTTCATAAAATTTAAGGTTAAACTTTATTTTAATGTTCAGTTTGTTGAATTTAAGTTACATTGCATCTATAAGCCAACTAATTCTTAATAGATTATAAGTAGACCGTTAGGTTGGGGTTAGGGTTAGTGTAAGTTGACATGTACATAGTTTCTTATAATAACTTAAATGACTGTTGAAGGAGCATATGCATAGATATTATTCAGACAGTCTGCTAATACTCAAATGGACCATAACAACACAGTGTTACCAAATATAATTATTAAAATTAATAAAATTAATAAATTGTAATTATTTAGCAATTAATATTTGGATCAATAATTTAAAAAGTACAATTTCATAGTAAAAGTGGTGTGTCAAAACAGAACTTTTGCATATGTTTCTCAACCTGCTATTTGAAAAGTATTGGTCTGAAATGGTTTTCTATGCAACACTGCATCACAATGAATTTTATATAAAGCACCATTCAGCTTTAAGTAGATCTAACTGAATATTTTTTTTCAGTTTTAAGTAAAAACTGTGTCTTTTTACACTAATACTCTTCAACTTAATTTATAAAGAGAAACATTTTCCTCAAGATTTGTTATAAAATATAATTATTCTAATTTAGACTTTCTAATTTTCTCATTTAGAATATAAATCTTCTAGTTTAGTAGTTTATTTTACATTTCAAATTCAAAACTGTGTTCAAAAGTTAATCAGCATTTAGATTTGAAGGCATAACCCCCTCTTTTATTAAAAAACAGTTGATAGGGAATTTGTTTGGCAAATCTGTTTGAAAATTTGATTTATTTCTGACTGTAATGTAACACTTGGCATGCTGCAAATTCAAAATAACTAGTTAAGTTATAACTTTGAAAAAATTTTAAAATTTGAAAGCAGTTTCTCAACCTTGTCATTTCAGGTTCTGATGCAGCAGCAGAAGAGCAGGGCTTTCTACCGCATTCAGGCAACAAGGATGATGATTGGTGCTGGGAACATCTTGAAGAAACATGCAGCGGATCAGGCTCGTAAAGTGGTCAGCAGTGGGGAACCCCGAGAGCAGGAAGATGATCCTCATGTTACAAGAATAGACTTTGAACCAGCCCTCTACCAGTGCTTTGAGAACTGTGGATCCTTAAAACTTACCGTACAAAGGCATGGAGGAGATGCCGGGTGTAGTGTTAAAGTGAGTTAATAGTAAAACACTTGTTATTTTATTCATTCCATCAGGTAATCTAATGCTTCTACATCTTCTAATCTGATTTTGACAATTAAATGATGGAAATTATGGAGCAGATTTTCTTCTGTTTATTTAATGAAAACATGAAAGATCTTTTTAAATGCTTATTCATGTGTAATTACAGGTGGACTACCGCACTGAAGATGGCACAGCCAATGCTGGTTCTGACTATGAGTTTGCAGAGGGCACACTTGTCTTCAAACCTGGCGAGAATGTTAAAGACATCGCAGTTGGCATTATTGATGATGATATCTTTGAGGAAGATGAATATTTTTATGTTCGTTTGAGCAATCCCCGTATAGTTGGGTGGGCTGATGGACATCCTATTGCTTTGGAGACTGGAGCTCCTGCCCCTAGTGCTGCCCTTGGTGAGGCTCACACGGCAACAGTGACAATCTATGATGATGACCATGCCGGAATTTTCACATTTGAGAGTGAATCAATGCGAGTGAGTGAAAGTATTGGAATCATGCAGGTCAAGGTCCAGAGAACGTCTGGAGCCCGTGGTCTGGTGGCGGTACCATATCAAACAGTGGATGGGACAGCTTGTGGAGGGGAGGACTATGAGGAAGTGTCTGGAAAATTGGAGTTCCAGAATGATGAGACAATGTAAGTTGTTTCGATCAAGTAATACATTTGTGTGTAAGGATGATTTACTTTCTGTGTGATTATGGCTTTGTTTAGCTCCTTTTTTCAGGACGCTGTAATGCACAAGAGAATCTTTATAGTGAAAATGATTTCAGACCCTCAATAACGTTTTAGATTATGCGTACTTGGATATTTAAGTATGTCAAGCAGCATATTTCAGGACAAGAATAGAGGAAAAATATGATCCACCACCTGTCAAAATGATTGATGACTTCCGGCCAGCCCCTTTTAGGGTGGGACTTTCAGTTTAAACCCCACCCATTTTTAATATGAACTTTATATCTCTGGTAATTTAATTCCTATAAATTAAATAAAGTCCTATAAATTTTGTAGTTCTGGTAATTAGATTAAAATCAGATTAATTAAATTTTATATATATAATTATATATATATATATATATATATATATATATATATATATATATATATATATATATATATATATATATATATATATATATATATATATATATATATATATATATATATGTGTGTGTGTGTGTGTGTGTGTGTGTGTGTGTGTGTGTGTGTGTGTGTGTGCGTAATTACATTTTATATATATTAATTTAATTATGAATTATAATAATGTATAATTTATTAATGAAATATAAAATATCATTTAATTAATTTTATGATAATCTAATTAACAGAGTTTATTAAATTACCAGAAGTATAGAGTATATATTAAAATGGGCAGGTCTCAAACTGGAAGTCCCATACTAAAAGACATGAATTCATCAATTATTTTCACAGGTGGAGGATCTTATTTTCTGTCTAAGGATTACAAGAATCCATTATGAAATAAAAAATGTCAAACATGTGAATATGCAAATCAGCTCCTTAAGTTTTTATTTTATTTTAGAGGCTTTATGCAGAGAACAATTACATATCAGTTGCCACATGATGAAAATAATATGATACACATTCCGCCATTGCTATATTGTACATTGTTGAGGCAATATTTGTCAGTTATTTTTACATACAGGAGATACAGGAAATTGGGTTCATAAAGTATAAGGATGAAGGAGTCACTTTTGCATTGCATGTGGGAATGTAAACAGTGGATATGCCCCAGGCTGTATCAAATAGCATGTCAAATTAAAGGAAAATTAAGATTTTTAGGTAATTGTTGTGAAAGTCTACAGCTAGCATGGGTTTACGTGATGCCTTTGTGAAATGACTGGTTCATGTAGATCAATTTATCTTTAAGGTAGGTCTGCACGATATTGGAAAATATTGACAGTGCAGTTTTGTATTCCTGCGATATGTATTGAGATATGAATATAATTTCACAATATGACTAAAGTAACTGTTTGGGATGAATTCACAACTTTACACTGATTTTGAAGTGCTTCTACATAAAATATACAAATATGTATACAAAAATGTATTTTAAATTTTTAAGCACAGGTTAAAAAAATAAACACTGCTTTATGGTTTATGGTGAAATATTACAATATTGAGGTAAATAAATCCAATCATCAAATCTAATTATTTAATAAAAATATTTAAGCTCAATTAATCTTGGTTAAAGCAGCAAACTTTTTAATTTCTTGTTCCTAAATGGTTTAAATTTGCTTTAAATCTTACAGTCACAAGCCCTAAAACACATCTGAGTTAAAAAAAAGAAATTGCACTTAGATTATGGTTGAAAATTAACTAATCATATGTACTGAACTTTGACTTTTGATCCCAACTCAACATTGCAGATCTTGCGATGTGACTATTGCAGATACGCACATTGCGATATGGATGCTGAAACTATATATACTGTGCAGCCCTACTTCAAGCTAATGCTGGGTTGGCTTCACATACATAGTTTGGGGTTATGTGTTACACAGTTTGTTTTTGTCATTAGACCCACAGGTAACAGCTGTAGTTGTCAGCTGATGCTAACATAATGTTGTTGATTAAAAGCTATTAGTTGCATTTAATTTAACAATATTACCAGAGGAGAGAGTTTGTGTTTTGGTGTTGGTATTTTGTTGATGTGTAAGTGAACATTTTCACTTATTTGTCTGGTTTAAAACAGACAAATCACCTATGGCATCACCTAGATAAATAGATGAGGCATAAGTAGAGAACTATGAGGAGAGAGGACAAAGTGAATGGCCATTTTTTCTTTCTTTTTTTTGGTTGGTATCTCTTGATTTATTGTTCAGTAAGTCTTCACAACAGGAACACATAGATAGCAGATCTGCAAATAAGTGCCACAAAATAAAATACACACACCCAGAACCCACCCACAGATCATGCGGTCTGTAATGTACAGTACAGAGATGATATCTATCCTGGCCTGGCATCTGTCAGCCTTTCAGTCCACAAACTTCCATTCCTTAACTTTTTTTCAATTCAGCTCACACGTATACTTATTCCGGCTGGAAGAATCAGATCATGCCAGCTTAACCCTGATGTTCTGCTGGAAATGTAAGATTGATTTGTGCAAATGTAATAAAAGTAAAATTAAAAGTAGCCTCTTATTTTCCCTTTAGACTTAAATACAGAAATGTATTCTGACCTACAGTAACCCCCAGCAGAAAGTCATTACTAAAGCTGTGTCTTTCTATTTAACCATAAAATAGACATATTTAATATATGGCTGTATGGTTAGCAATGTCGCCTCACAGCAAGAAGGTCACTGGTCATTACTGTCCCAGCTGGGAGCTCCAGGATTTCCCCACAATCCAAAGACATGCACTATAGGTGAATTGGATTAACTAAATTGGTCGTAGAGTATGGGTGCGTGTGTAAATGAGAGTGTATAGGTTTTTCCAATGACTGGATTGTGACTGGAAGGGCATCCACTGCGTAAAACATATGTTGGTGGTTCATTCCACTGTGGCGACTCATAAATCAAAAATGAATTAAAAAACAGATAAATAATATAAGCAATTTCCAAAGACTGTAAATTTAGTAAAGTAAAAGGTTATAATAAATATGTTAACTGGTTATAATTGTAACTATTACTGTTAATAAATGTAAACCGAAAATTCTGGCATTGCTGTTGACTGTAGACATTCAGTCATATTTGATAAATTTTATTATTGCAACTTTTTTGTTGAATCTTTTTGTCTTTTTAAGTTTGGAACAAGGTGACAGTACATAAATATTTAACCAATTCTTTATTCTGTTTATTGGCAAGTCTATAGAAGTAGATGCAGATGCATCTATCCCATTGACATTTCTTGATTTTTCCACTTTTTGTGAATTAACAAGCTTTTTGAAAACAAAATATTTATGTTTTCAGCTCTGTTTTTCAATATAAATGCAAGTTCTTCAGTTTTCTTTCCTTTTTCAGTTCTGCCTTCCAGCAGTCCATTCATTTATCAATACTCACTTGATGAATCTGAATGTATCACATTTAATGCAATATGTATCTTTGTACTCAGCCTATAATCAAATATTAATTTGTGTTAGAGTATCTGTGTGTGGAAGAGGTTTAGGTAGGTTAATATTCATCTGGCCCCAGTGGAGCTCTGCTGCGCCCTGAGCTTGACATAGACATAGAGACTAGTGGACGGGTGAAGAGGTGGCAACACACAATAAGTGAAATACAGACAATGAGCTTGAAGATGTGGATGAAATGAAAACAGACAAGGAGGTCTGGAGGATTAGTTTGTGCGTGTCTGAATGTGTCTTTGCCTGTTACCCTCATACTATACAATATATTGAGGGCTGTGCCTTGATGTCATTCTATAGCATCCACAATGATTTTTTGCTCATATTTCATGAAGGCTTTATGAGTGAGAAGTGCTTTCACACATATGACTCAATCTGTCTTATTAATATATTTTCCTTTGCTGTATTTACACGCATTGTATATTTTAAGGCCAACGTTTGATTCTGTCAAATCTCAGTTTAAATGATTGTTTTCTTTGCTGATTTTTTTAAACAAATTCAACACAGTCATTCTAGTTTCCTTGTCATACCAAATGTTCTTTCTAGCCTTTCTCTCATGACATGGGGCTCTGCATTAGTTCTTTTCTTAGGGTGACCCAGAATTTACTATGAGCACTAGATATGTGTTCCAAACAGACCACAGCGTGAAATCTCTGTCAGTGCTTGTCTCTGAGTGTGCGCAAAGTGAAAGTAGATCACTGACTCGTGGCAGTATTTCTGGTGATAGCAAGTTCCTCCTAATTTAGACCACTCAAAACCTGTTCGCTATTTACATTTTCTAACAATACTTTAAATTAATCAGATCGCAGAAATTGTTTATACAAATATGGGAAAAATATTAGGGTTAATTAGGGTCGTTTAAGGATGTCATGTTTGAAATGATGATCACATATTTTCAAGTTCCAAAAAAATTGCCATGTAATTAAAATGACTCTGAATGACAAGTTTAAAGCCACAGTAACTTTGTGTAGAAAAAAATAGCATTCATTAATTTTCTTTTTGGCTTTGTCTTTTTATTAATCAGGGGTTGCCACAGCAGAATGAACTGCCAACGAATCCATCATATGTTTTATGCACCAGATGCCCTTTAAGCTGCAACCCATCACTGGGAATCACCCATACAGTGTCATTCACACACATACACTACCAGGCACGTGCACACATAGGGCTCAACCTGTGCAGTGCACATGCCCTTTTTAGTCTTGGATAGAAAGTGCCCTTCCAAAATGATCTAAAGTGCCCCCACGACACGACACACCCTCGGTCCCGCCCTTCAGTAGGTGCGACAACATCGCTCTTGAGTACGCGCGCGACAACACAGCTGATTAGTACACACTCGATAACTCCGCTCTTCAGTACGCGCGCAACAACCTAATGGTAACCCATGCAAACATGAGGAGAATATGCAAACTCCACGCAGTGGCGAACCCGGATTAATAAAGGGACTAAGCCGGAAAAAAAAAAGAATAAATTTAAATGGTTCTATCATTATTTGTTTATTCCCCCAAAAATGGTAACACTTTATTTTGATGGTCCATTTGAGTATTACTAGACTGTCTGCT